GCATTTGAAATTTGACTGGTCCAACGCTGTGCAGTAAAAGTTGTAAAAAACGCTTGCACCTTATCCAATCAGGGTTTGACCACTGGCTGTGCATTGGACCTGGTCAAACCCTGTGCACTCCAACCCTTGTGACCCATGCAGCCAGGGTTGACCACTGGCGGTAGGCATTTGACCTGTGGCCAAACCCGGTGCAGTCTGTGCTACGCAACCAGTGTTTTTGACATACCACGCGATCCAGGATTTTGACTTCAGAGGAAAAACACATGATTCAGACAGATATAGGTGGATTTAGACAGGGAGCCTGCTTGAGCCTGCGAACCCAGACCGAAAGTGGCAGGGTGAATACTGCACAGAAATGTGGCAATACACATTGGCCAGGCCGGAAGTGGCAGGGTGCATGGTGTAAAAAGACAAGGCCATAACACATTTGCCATCCTCAATTTTCACCATCTGTGGAACGAGAGTCGGAAGTATTTCAGGCAATATCCGAGTAAGAAGGAATATCCAAACATGAGCGACATCCCATTGGTCCATTCCAATCCCTGCATGTTGGGACCCCAATTCGTTAGAACACAAGCCGTCATGCCGCGTGAGTATTTATCTACTTCCTACCTAATTGACCCATTGTGAAAATGCCAAGATAGCTCCACAACAGACGAGATGAGACAAGACAGAACGAGGAGATGAAAATGCTAACGTTTTCATCCATCGAGTACTGTTCCAGAGCTTCCATAATGCCCCCCGCCCCGCGCCCCCCCCCGATCCCAAACAAATTCCTCATAGTTCGACTTCTTAACCAGGATCAGCAAAAAACAAAAAACAAAAACACCCTTACCTGGATTCCCACCCTCGCCGTCCTATAGAGAACATGCAGCGATTCATCATCTAAGCCTTGTACCAGTGACACAGCCAACTCCATGAAGGTGCACCTGAACAATCATTCACGCACACGAGGTCATGCGCCACCACACAACCGTTATCAAAACCAGAAAAGCACAAGCCGAGAACCGAGCCCGCGACCTGCAATCCATCCTGAAGCCCAAGTCAAAAGCGACCAAACCACTAATGAGTAATACCTATGATAAATGGGGAAAACATAAGTCATGGCAATCATCAAGGTCGTAAATGCACTTGACTTCAAGGACTCGTAAACACATCATCTCCGGCCCCACCTTCCCCCCTCTCCTGTACAACCACCTCATTGCATCTCCGCAACCTCGTGCATCCCAGTTTCCACCATCATTGTTCCATTCCGTTCCTTCTTCGTCCATCAACTCACTCTTCCATCACGTCTCCACTGAGCTGCAACACATTGGGACACGATTGATTTGCACTTTAAACTGCACCCCGCCTGTTTCCATACAATGAAGCCAAGAATCAAGTGACTGGTGGGGAATAGAACCCGTGATCTGCTGCAAAAGAAGGCGGATCACTCCACCAATACTACCTAAACCGAGCTGAGGTGAGATTGAAGCCCCTCCTCATATAGTAAATCTCACCTCCTCATATAGTTAATCTATGACCGCCAGAAAATACCCATACTCAAATTCAACCCACGCGCATTTGAGGCTAGCTCACACCCACCATGCACTATTGCAAGGACATCCAACTGACTCTAAGCACTTGTCATAATAAGTTAACGACTAACACACAATCATCAAGTACATGTGGATAACGTGATGACTCTTCACAGATAAGGTGACTAATTGTCGCGGATAAGGCGATCAATTGCCATGGATAAGGTGACTGATCAGCACTCGTTATAATAAGTTAACTTAATAATCACTAACTGTAATGATCTGCCGAACACGGACTGAGACACAGCTGATTTCTGAGTTTTGCCAATGGAATGTATGCCTGGCCGAGTTTCCCGCTTGTTGCCGAGTTTTCTAAGTGTGTGTGTCTGTGTGTGCGTGCTTGCTGGTCTGCGTGCCTGTCTGAGTGCTTGTTGGTTTGAGTGTGTGTGTGACCCGCAAGGGTACTCGTCCCTATGGGAGGCCCAAAGGGCCGGTACTTACCTGTGGCCGTGACATTGAGGGTTGCAGTGGGGAAACACTCAAGTGGCGGCGAAAGAGGCCCACGACACTTAGAGCAGCGGAAAAACACTCAAGTAGCAGGAGGGTCGGTACCACACCAGGTAGAGGTAGATGTGCCAGGTACTCGAGGACGAGCAGAAGAAGACAAAAGTTGGCATTTTTTAGGACCAGTAGTTGTAGGCTAGGTCTAGGCGGGTACCAGTCCAACCAGTCTGAGACTAGGGCCTGTACGGGCAATATCAGAGCCTGCAATGATGTTTCCCTCCGAAAGGGAGGAGGTACCAGTTGTTTGGAGGCCGTGCAGCCTGAAAGTCACCAACCACGCGGTGAGCAGACCGCTATATCTCCTGGAGGAGCAAAGAGCTCCTCATTCTCCGGTGTGCAAGTTTGGCGACACACTGTTTGGAGCGCTGGTTGGAGCAGCGCTGCTGGGAGGGAAGGAGCACCCAGCTCCCCACCGGGGCTATGGTGGAGGAGCACAGGCTAGGAGGAGGAAGTCGAGGACTAGGAGGGGTGAGTGCCAGAGGTACTTACCTGGCTATGGTGGATGCCATCTTCATCACCATGGTGGGCACTGCATCTGGAAGGCCCCAGTTGGGGTAGAGCTACACCAAGAAGCTTCGAGGCAGAGTCAGGCATGGCGGCCTGAGCTCGAGCAGCCATAGCTGCTTTGAGTTGTCTTTTGCACATCAGGGCAAGGCCCTAGCATTCCGCCATAGCCTCGGCCTTCAGGAAGAGGAAGGAGAAAGGTGGCCATGGCTATGGTGGACCTCATGTTGTACCTGCAGTAGAAGAGGGATTCGGACATTGATTGTCGCATACCGTAAAGGTGCAGACCAGAACAAGAACCGACCTCTCTCACATAGTACAAGATAGCGCAGCGGAAGGCTAATATACCAATGATCCGAACAGTCAATGTTGCAATGCAGACCAAACATACATCATCATCATTGCATGATGTGAAGGGGCCTGGCGCTCACACAGGAAGAATGTGCCAGTCCCCAACCATACACAGACGAAGAAGAGTGGGGTTAGACGAAGAAGAGGGAAAGATGGGAATGTCGTCAACACCAAGTCTTCGGTACAGGTCCCAAATAATCCCTCGTCCAATGTCTCGATCCCAATGTGGAGTCTGAAATGTCGTCAATTCCCAAAGTCACCAATCTCTTTCTTTCTCGTAGTCTGCAGATACTGAGAAGTTAGGTGGCAAGAGGGTGAGGGAGAGATGGTGGACTTAGAAAAGGAAGAAGAACTCTCTCTCTCTCTCTCTCTCTCTCTCTCTCTCTCTCTCTCTCTCTCTCTCTCTCTCTCTCTCTCTCAGTCCGGTACTAACCTGTGAAGGTGGCACCTTGTCGCAGGTACGTCGAAGACGAAGCTGGAGCTATGGCGCCACAGGTAAGTCTCCCTGGCCTCCGCCAACCATCTCTCTCTCTCCCCAACGCTACTCTAGCTCCTAATAGCACCCAGCGCTGAAGACTACTGCTAACGCTACCACTACTACTGCAGCGCTCCTCCAGAGTGCTGCTACCGAATCCTGAAGACTGCCTCCTGCCTCCTCCACGTGAAGTGCCAGGGAAGTCCCTATGAACTACCTCGTGACTACCTGCAGCCTGCAGGGCGGGCCAGTCTTATATAGTGCTGGCCCGTCCAGGAGGCTGCTCTTGCCAATGCCAAAACGTGCCAGACCCTGGCGTTGAAGTTCAAACGAGGGTTGTCTTGAAAACAGGCCCAAAATGGCCTGTGCTAAAACCCTGGTCTGGTGCCTACGCTTCAGGGCAGGTCGACTTTATGAGGGCCTGAAAATGCCCCCCTTGTTTTCAGGCTTTTAGGCTGAAACGACACAGGGCCTGTAAGCCCTCGTTTTCAAGCTTTCAGGCTGAAACGACACAGGGCCTGTAGGCCCTTGTTTTCAGGCTTTCAAGCTGAAAACGACATAGGGCCTGTAGGCCCTTGTTTTCAGGCTTTCAGGCTGAAAACGACACAGGGCCTGTAGGGCCCTTACTTTTCCTTGTTTGGTCGGGCCTTGCAGGCCCGTGTGGATGCGCAGTATGCTACATTGATTCTGGTTCAGCCATTCAACATTATTGTTATTATTTATTGTTTGAATGAGAGGGGAGGAGAGAAGGACGAGCAGAGTGGTTGGCGAGAAGAAGGGAATTATCATTGGTCTTTGCGGGTGTACATCTTCTTCTTTTTTCTTTCTTTTATTATTTATTGTTTGAACGAGTGAGGAGGAGAAAAGCAGGAGGAGAGTGGTTGGCGAGAAGAAGGGAATTATCATTGGTTTTTGCTATTGTACATCTTCTTCTTTCTTTTGTTATTTATTGTTTGAATGAGAGGGGAAGAGAAAAGGAGGAGGACAGTGGTTGGCGAGAAGAAGAGAATTAGCATTGGTCTTTGCTGGTGTACATCTTCTTTCTTTCTTTCTTTCCTTCTTCTTCTTCTTCTTCTTCTTCTTCTTCTTCTTCTTCTTCTTTCCCTCTCTCTCCTCTCAAGTTCATTCATTTCTTTTTGCAATTGGACAGCATTGTGCTTTCTCACGAGTTTGTACTTCGAAATTGGCCAGGATCATAACATAGCACCCTTCTTTTGCTAATGCAGGACAAAGGACTTGCCGTTAATTCATTTTTCCGTACCTTCGTGTCGTTGCAATCTCTGCCTTATTACTTTCACCATCAACCTGCATCGCAGCGTCTCCATCTGCTGCCGTCTTTGCACTTGCTGCCTCTTTCAGAGCTTCCACGAGCTTCTCCATGACCGACATGAAAAAACTCTTGATGGTCGCAGGATCCGCCACTGAAGCAAATGCATCAATTGTTTGCTGTGCCAAGAATAACAACAAAAGTGAAAACAAAAATTGTCATAGGGAAAAAGAAGAAAAAAGACAAAAACCTCATAAGGAAAACCCTTGGCCCAGTCCACCATCACACAGCACACATTCAAATAGCGAGACAGCAAGACGGCAAAATACGCCAAGAGCCCGGCAAGAGAGAAGCTATCACTCTGTGAGATGAAGGATCAGGACTCCATTCGGGGAAGCGCACGAATGAACACCTTCCTCTGGCTGCTGTTGGCCAAAACCAGCAAGCCCTTAGTCAAAGTGGTGAGAAACTACATGAGGCCAGATCACCTATCGTAGTGGGGACCGATCACTAAATAACATCTCAAAGCGCTACAGTGGGGACACACCACTATGGGACGGACCCAGCCACGAAGGCCTAGAGAAAAGCCGCACTTAGGAACTGACTACTTGACACCTCCATCTGGTACACACGTCAGATCACACTTGCTCATACATACAGTGAAAAGGAAATCGACGAGGAAAGAAATGAAAAAACATACTTTCAGACCCAGCCCATCCACCTTCAATCACCAGTACGAGGACTCTCCTCCCAAACATTCGACGGTATACCAGCGGGCTGCGTGTTCAATGTACCGGCCTAGTGGATAGAAGTTCAATTCATTCTGGCACAACAAAATTAGGTTCGACAACTTAGCGCTGGTGCTTTAATGGTACACACACCTAACTGTTACTAAACAGCTCATCAGTTCAAATCCCAATGGAGTCACATGAATATCACCATCGTGTAAGGGGCTAGAAGAGGAGGAGGAGGAGGAAGAAGAAGAAGAAGAAGAAGAAGAAGAAGAAGAAAAATAAGAAGAATGAGAGGAGGAGAAGGAAGAAGAAGAAGAAGAAGAAGAAGAAGAAGAAGAAGAAGAAGAAGAAGAAGAAGGGAGGTTCAGCCAAAAACAGGCAATGAAGAACAAGACAGAAAGCAGAAGCTGCTGCCTCTCAAGCACGGCACCCTATCGTCGATGCAATTGTGCAGAACATGCCTTCAGCATGTTCCGTCCTATTTGCAAATACAGTTGCTATTTGTCCTCGTCCAGCCACACTTCAGGCAGGATATGCCATGGAAGAGGGAGACTCGATGACTTCTCTGTTTGAATGATTCCAAAATGCTGACGGGATGCCCTCATGGCCCTTCCTTTAGTCATTTTACCAGTCCCACAACTACTCTTATCTCCCTGCTCTCTCTCTCTCTCTCTCTCTCACACACACACACACACACACACACACACACACACACACACAGAGAGAAGGAGAGAGAGCGCATGAGCGCATGCGAGGCACGCGTGCGCACATGCATGTGTGTGGGTTGGGGAAGGTTGACCAGTTGCAATACCTGCAAGAAGGCCCTCTTCTCAGGTTCCAATGAGATGAAGACATTAAAAAGCAGTGGCAAAAAGTTCCGGGCAAAAGCTCCAATAGCTGCAAGATTCGCCGACACAACCTCAGGTGTATGAAGAGCCCTTGCTCGCTCTTCTGCCGCAGTCAGCGGCTTTCCGTCAGCATCAGACACCTTTTCCTCCTCAGCATCTTCTTCGTTATTCAGCCCAGGATCGCCACGTGCTTTCTTATTTTGATTAATCAAAATCTGGCAAATATGGCATCACCACGACAAAACAAGGCTCTTAGGGTCCATGTGACAGAAAAGTGTGCACCACCATCAAGTCTTAGGGCCTCGCTGCGCTACTCTCGACATGCACAAAAGACAAAGATCATGGCGGTGCATCTTTCCATATTCTAGCGGAAGATTCACTCTCGTTTTGCACATTTCGAGAGTAGTGCAGCGAGGCCCTTAATCCTTCAGATTACAGAAGCAACACCCCCAGCCTCCAGAAAAAAAAAAAAAAAAAAAAATGCACACTGTGCAGAGTTTTGCAAGCTTGAAGACCTACGCCAAGGCAGAGAGACATGTTTGCCTTTCCATTCTA